GCCTGGGGTACTCGGGCATCAGGCAGATGGGGAGGTGGGCTTGGAGACACTGAGGCCAACCCCCCTATGTTCTGCGAGTGCTCGGAGCCCTGGGGGGCAGCCAGGCCAGAGGATGTGTGGGGCACTGGGATACGCAAAGCCCGCAGGGGCAGAGACCCGGGCCACCTGGAGGCAGGTGCTGAAACTGATGGGGTTTGTCTGTGGCCAGAGCAGCTGGGAGGGCAGGAGAGAATGGACAGGTGGGACTCACTGGCTGCTCCCAGGGTTCAAGGTGGGTGCCATTCCTGGGGCTGGTAGCCCTAGATAAGCCCTTGTCAGGAGGCAGTGACAGTAACTGGAGGGGCCCCAGGGGAGACCAAAGACTAGGCCAGAACCCCTTTGGCCTGGGAGGGGCAGGGATGCTGCAAGGCTGAGGCAGGACTGGCCCAGGCCCCTCTGGGATGGAAGGTCCAGTGCTGCTGCCCTGCCCCCTAGTGGAGCCACAAGTTACTGCAGCTGATGCCTAAAGGCCAGGCAAGTCCCACCTCCGTGGGGCTGGTGACTGGTGCCACCCACTTCCTGTCCCACTCACTGCAGTGCGGGGGTGCACGACAGGTGCCCACGGGACACTCCCATAGGAAGAACTAAATGTTAGCACGGTGATTGGACTTCCTGCAAATCGACTCCTATATTAAGAATGGGAGGAACATGTCCTTCCCAGCCTCCCCCGGGACTCCTCGTGGAAACACCAGGGGCCGAGAGTGGCAAAAGGCATTCAGCATCTGGTCCCCAGGATGGAGGGGGGTGAGGAGGGCAGGTGTTGAGTGGAGAATAGCCTCTCGGAGCTGCTCCCGAGACATGGGCTTTACCCGTAGGAGGGGGGCGTGGGCACCTAGTGGGAGGCCATCAGGAAGGGCCCGGCCTGTCTGTGGCTCTCAACATCAGTCCCCTTCCTCTCCACGGCAAAGATGGGAACTGCCCAGTCACGTGGCCTGAGCAAGCCCCTCCCCTTCTTAGGTTCTGGAGGGAACAGGTGACCCGTCCAAGTCCCTTCCAGGGCACCAGGTCCATGAGTTTGTGAAACTGAACCATGAAGTTAAATCATTGGCCCCTGACTTCTTTGCAGCCAGTCTGAGCTCTCACACCCTGGCCGATACTGGTGGGTGGGTGGGTGGGTTTTGGGCCGCAGGGGTTGACCCCAGCCTACCCTGCAGGAGGTGGCAGAGGTGGCCGGGGAGGAGCGCGGGCGCATCCTGCTGTCCCTGTGCTACAGCTCTCAGCGGGGCGGCCTGCTGGTAGGGGTGCTGCGATGCGCCCATCTGGCCCCCATGGATGCCAATGGCTACTCGGACCCCTTCGTCCGCCTGTGAGTGTGAACAAGGTGGACAGGTGGGCATGGGGATTCCTCAGAGCCCTTCTGGGGCTCACCTCTCCAGAGCCACACCTAACCTGACCCCATCCTCCCCAGATTCCTGCATCCAAATGTGGGGAAAAAAACTAAATATAAGACCAGTGTTCGGAAGAAGACCCTGAACCCCGAATTCCATGAGGTAGGCCAGGGCCAGGCCAGGGCAGTCCTGCTGCACCGGGGTGGGGGAGGTCAGCACGCCGCCTCAGTCAGAAACACAGGTCCCAGCTGACCCGAGTCCCTACCAGCCTAGCCTGTTTCTGAAGCTGGGAAGGACCGAGGCTGCCCCTTCCTTCCTGTCTCCTCCGGTAGGAGTTCTTCTACGCAGGCCTCAGGGAGGAGCTGGCCCAGAAGACCCTGCTGGTGTCTGTATGGGACTATGACCTGGGCCCGGCCAACGACTTCATTGGTGAGTGGGGAGGCAGGGGAGCTGGGTGGGGGCCCAATGGGCTCCCACACATCTCCTGACTCCTATCCCCCAATCCAGGCGGGGTACAGCTGAGTGGCCGGGCCGGTGGGGAGCGCCAGCGGCACTGGAGAGAGTGCCTGGGCCACAGTGACCACCGGCTGGAGCTGTGGCACCCGCTGGACGGGAGTGCGCCCCTCCAGCTCAGCGACTAGCTGGGGCGCCTGCGTGGCCCTGCTCACTGCTCCTCCCCAAACTGACCCAGACGCCTCCACAGAGTTGGGAGGAACCAGGGCTGCCTCACCCACATGCCCAGCCCCTAGTCAAATTGTTTCCTTCCTCCACCCCTTCCAGATGTGCCCAGTGCCCCCTCAGGAAGCAGGAATAAACCTCTCCTCCAATCCAGACTAAACCAAGCCTATTCTTTCCTGGCCCATCACCTCACAGGGCAAACTGGACCCTGCTCTCCTTGTCCCCACCCTCAAGGGCCCAGGTGTGGACCTCAGGCCACAGCTTTGCCCTCCCCCCCACCGCTTCCTGCACTGAAGGCTGGGTGTTCAGGATGGTCTAGGACAGACTCGCTGACCCATAGGAGGCCAAGGTCTGGATTCATGGCATGAGCTTGAGCTGGCCTATCCTTTCCAAGCCTCCCCACCTGGGAAACAGGCCCCATGAGTAATGGACCTCAGGTGCAGGGGGAGAGCAAGGCCACAGAGAAGCTTCAACAGGATAGTGGGCAGCACTTGCTTTATTGTCCCGCCGTCTGGATGATGGACACCAGCCCAGGGCAGCAGGCTCAGGCGGCGGCTTGCCTGACCTGGTGCTGCTGGGCAAACCGCTGCATCCGGTCCTCGAGCTCCGGCCGGAAGTGTCGGATGAGGCCCTGGGAAGGGGTGGGAGCACTGTGTGAACCAGGGTCTAAAATCCCCAAGGCCCTGGGTTCTCAGCAGCCCCACACTAGTGCCACAGAGCAGGGCAGTGAGTACCTGCACGGGCCAGGCGGCCCCGTCGCCCAGGGCACAGATGGTGTGACCCTCTATCTGCTTGCTGATCTCCCACAGGGAGTCGATCTCGGCCGGCCGGGCGTCCCCCCTCACAAAGCGGGCCATCACCTTGTTCATCCAGTCCACGCCTGCAGCCACAGTAGGAAGAGACTGAGAGAGGCCACAGCAGGCCGGGCAGCATCTGTTCATTCAGGGTCCAGAGCCCACCCCACCTTTGACCTCTGCCCAACCCAGGCCAGGGTGAGCCACAGGGAAAGCCCCACGCGCTCACCCTCGCGGCACGGGGTGCACTGGCCACAGCTCTCGTGCTTGTAGAACTCAATGAGGCGGGCGATGGCTTTCACTATGTCCGTCTGGAGACCAAGGACAGTGACAGGTCCCCAAGGCCTGAGCCTCCGTCCCCAGAAGCAGCCCCTTCCGACTCCCCCAGTGTCCTGCCACTCCCCGCCCCGCCCTGGGCATCCTGCACTGCCCACTCTCCATGGCACCCTGCCTCAGAGCAGCCTTGCTCCCCCCTTGCCCACCTATATCTCAGGCTGTAGGGTCTGGGACAAAAGAGCTGGCAAGTTCTCAGAGAAGCCACGGGAGGGGAACCAAGCAGGCTGGCAGGAGGGGAGGACCGGGTGGGAAGCGGGGGCCAGCCCTTACCGAGCGATCCATGACGATCACCGCAGCCGTGCCCAGACCAGTCTGTGCCTGCACCAGCGCGTCGAAGTCCATCAACACCGTCTCACACACGGACTTGGGGATCAGTGGGGTGGACGAGCCGCCGGGGATCACAGCAAGGAGGTTGTCCCAGCCACCCGTGACACCCCCTGGGTCCCAGTCCCCAAAATGATGGGTGGTCAGGGCTGGGACCAGCAAACCTGCCTGGTCCTGAGCCCAGGGCCTATCAACCCCCGCCCCAGCCCCAGGCCCTTCCAGCCCTGGCTCTCTCCCCGGATGCCCAGCCCTGACCCTTGCCCCCTGGCCCCAGGCCTCACCCGCATGCTTTTCAATCAATTCCTTCAATGGCACTGACATCTCCTCCTCCACGGTGCATGGGTGGTTGACGTGGCCAGAAATGTTGAACAGCTTGGTGCCCGAGTTACGCTCGCGGCCAAAGCCAGCGAACCAGGCACCCCCTCGGCGGCAGATGGTGGGGGACACAGACACTGTCTCCACGTTGGCCACAGTGGTGGGGCAGCCAAACACTCCTGTGAGGAAATGGGGCAAATCGGGGTGGGTTTCCTGGCAATGGGTCTGTCCCAGGGTCCTGTTCCCATGGCAGACAGCCCCCTTCTACTGCTTTATCATTCTCATCCCCACTGGACCCCCAAGCCCAGCAGGTCCTGCACTGCCTTGTTCACCCCCTGCCCTTTGCTCCCGGAGGGCTGGAGGGGACTTGGGTGTCTGGCGTGGGGGCTGAGGCAGGTGGCACCGGCGGAGCCTCTATGTTGTTGCCACCGACTCTGCGTCTGGCCCCAGTGCAGAAGGAACTCAGAAATTCCCTAAGAAAGACCAGTGGGGACCCGAACCCAGATCCCGCAGGACCCAGGACAAGGCCCAGGATCGGGCCGGATCTTACCCACGTCTGCGGGGAAGGGCGGCTTCAGGCGGGGCTTGCCCTGCTTGCCCTCGATGGACTCAATGAGCGCTGTCTCCTCCCCGCAGATATACGCCCCAGCCCCGCGCACCACGAACACGTCAAAATCATAGCCGGAGCCACAGGCGTTCTTGCCAATCAGACCAGCCTCGTAGGCCTCTCGGATGGCCACCTGTGGGGCAAGGGTGAGAGGGGAGGTCACTGTCCCCGAGGGCCTGGGGATACTGTGTGTGTGCGGGGGGCAGAGGGGAGGGGAGAATACAGGCCCATCACCAAATCCAGGGCTAAAGCCCCCTTTTGGCAGGAACGGAGGACGCTCTGGGAGGGGGCGAGGACTTGTACAGTGTGCATGCCATTGGAACAACAACTTAAAAATTCTCCAACTACATCTATTTTTAAAAGAACGATTTTAGAATCATGAAAAATTCAGCAAGTACTTTCTCTAGGTAGTGGGTCTGTGTGAGATTTTTCTCTTGTGTGTGTGGTTTCCTATCTTCACGATAAGTACTGCTTCTGCAATAGAGGGCAAGACCCTAGAGCAGTGGTCGGCAAACTGCGGCTCACGAGCCACATGCAGCTCTTTGGCCCCTTGAGTGTGGCTCTTCCACAAAATACCGACTTCTGCGCATGGGCCACGAAGTTTCAATTGCACTGTACGTGCGCGCCCGCACGTGGTATTTTGTGGAAGAGCCACACTCAAGGGGCCAAAGAGCCGCATGTGGCTTGCAAGCCGCGGTTTGCCGACCATAGTCCTAGAGGTTTAACTTTCAAGTACATAATAACAATAAATTTTATACGTGATGCTACTATGCGGGCCCTATACTACAGGCATCACCAGGCTAAGAATTACCTCTTGATCACTGACCCTTCCGCAGGAAATACGCCCTCTTATGAGTTCCCCAGCCCACCCACACCCTAGAAGTCTTGGAGCCCTGGAAAACCTCCCCCAAGCTGAGACTCTGGAGTATACTGGGAAGGCCCAGAGAAGGAGGCCTTTGGGAGCCATGTCCCAATCCTGACATGCAGGAGTGACCAGCACTCTCCCAGCGGGACCCCACACAGATTAGGCGCTAAAATCTAAGCATGACTATGCCAGGTAAGTGGGCGGTGAGTACACATGGAGCACCTCCTCTGTGATGTCCTTCCCCCAGCCCACCTGCAGATTGGAGGCCTCATTGTAGAATTCCCCACGGATGTAGATGTAGGCTGCACGGGCACCCATGGCCCGGCCCCCCACTAGGCAGCCTTCCACCAGCTTGTGGGGGTCGTGACGCATGATCTCCCGGTCCTTGCACGTGCCCGGCTCCCCCTCATCCGCGTTCACCACCAGATACTTGGGCCTGTGGGGGCCAGCAGGTCAGTTAGGCTACAGGGCCACCAGGGAGGGTCTTCCAACCCCCACTCTACCAGCCAAGCCTCAGAGATGTCTCCTCTGACAGCCAATCCCTCTCTGCCCTCCCAACATGTTCCCAGGCTTCTGCTTGCTCACCACCAATGACAGGAAGCTCACTGTCTAGCCCACCTTTGGGTGGCTGTGACCACAGGAAAGGTCTCGGTTCTGCTGTCCAAATGTCTCTCTTTGTGCTTTCCCAAGAGCCCAAATTCTGCTCTTGGTCACAAAGGGCTTTCTGAACCTCCACCATATCACTGAGGCCAGAAGGAAGTAAAGGAGCTGACATGTATCATTTGCTTTCTATGTGCTGACCAATGAGCAGGCCAAAAGCTATACAAACATTCTCTCTTTAATCCCCACAAAATATAATATCCATTTAAAGAAAACACTGAGGTTCAAAAAGGCCAAGAGACTGCCCAAGCTTAATGATTAGACGGCAGAGCGAGGAATTGATCAATTAAGTCATTTGAGTCAAAATCTTGTGCTGCCCTGACCAGGTGGCTCAGTTTGTTGGAGCACTGTCCTGTACACCAAAGGTTTTGGGTTCAATTCCTGGTCAGGGCACATACCTATATAGCAGGTTCGATCCTCCGTAGGGGTGTGCAAGGGAGACAACCGATTGATGTTTCTCTCTCACATCCATGTTGCTCTCCCTCCCTCCCTTCCTCTCTCTCTAAAATCAGTAAGCATATCCTCAGGTGAGGATTAAAAAAAAAAATCTTGTTCTGATTCTGCTACCCTTCGAGTCTCCCCTGAGCAACACCAGAGGGAACTGAGTCTCACCTACTTAAGCTCCGGTAACATTTTCCCACTTGATTCACTCCAAGGTAACAACCCAAAGCCCTGGGTAAGCCAAAGCCACCCGCAGGTTTCTCCTGCAACCCCATCTCCGCCTCTAAACACACCTGCCATCTGAGGGCTTATTCATGAAGCTCCACTTGAGGCCAGTGGGGAAGCCAGCGCCTCCACGGCCCCGCAAGCCAGATGTCTTGATCTCACCCAGGATCCAGTCAGGCCCCTTCAGCAAGATCTCCTTGGTCTTGTACCAGTCACCTCGACTCTGGGCACCTTTCAGCCTGGACAGAGTAGGGAAGGTGGTGAAGGGGAGGCCGTGCCCTGCGGCCCACCAGGCTAAGGGCACCATCTCACCTCCAGTCATGGCGTCCATACAGGTTGGTGAAGATCCGGTCCTCATCCTTCAGGGAGCCAAATGAGGTTTTCTTGGGCGCTGTCTGGAGACAAAGAGGGTCAGGAGGTCCAGCAGAGCTCTGGGATCATGAGGGGCCAGGCCAGAAGCTAAAGATTCTTAGGTCCCCCTGATTAGACGGGCTGGGCTGGGGAGAGGGCAGGAGCCTAAGCCTTAGCACCCTGGTAGCATCAAAGCTACCACCACCGCCTAGGAACCACTTCCTGTTCAGCAGGCACTAGGC